ACAAGATTGTACTGTAACCCTGTGCTCGGGAAGAGGCTGGAAAATGGATGGATTGAGATCATTTAAAATAGAAAGTATGTATTTGGAAGTGGACTTTAATTTCACTTTCACAGACCAAGTTAGGGGCACATAAGTTGAACAACAGTGGCTTTATCTAGGTGAAGAAATTACCCCTCAGTAAAAAAAAAAACATGATAGTATGGTGCATTACATAAACTAACTACAGAACTAAAATGGAACGTGAAAACTAAGTATTTTTACACTGGATAAAACTTTTGTTCTAATTATGGTCTTAATTATGTACATGAACCATGTGTGTAATGTCCTTCACACTCATCAGGCATGTATCAGTATATATATTAGTATTTAGTATTTTGATGAACTATAGGATCACAAAATGGATATAGCTGGACTAGTGTACTGAGAATTAATTAACACAATAAGAAATCAATTTATATTTTCATCATTTATTTACAGCCTATACAAAACATTCTCAAGCAGCCTCTGTGAGGGACCCACGGTGTCACTTCCTGATTTATCTAGACTCATCCCTCCCTGCTGCATGATCGGCTCGCCATGCCTGCATCTCGCTTAATTCCGGTCACTGATGCTACTCCTTAGATCCGCTCGAACAGCCTCATCTAAATAACTCCAGACGGCAAACGCAGCCAAGCTATTCCTCCAGTTCACATGCCGAAACCTCCTTTGGTTAATTAGTTTCCCTTATCATTAATCTGTAATTACGGCAGCATCGTTGTTATTCTGACTGCAGTGGCGTTCAGAGGAAGCTTGTTTTTCAGACGACTTCCTGCTCCCGGCTCCAGGATGACATAGCCTCTGCCGTATTAGGAGCCTTTTGTGCCTCATCAGTTGCTCATAAAAATTAATGGTATGATAAGTATTCGCACGCGAGTCACTGGGGTTCATTTCTGTGGCGTAGTTTTATATACAAATGTTAGTCTATCCATCTTAGAACCCAGTCCTGGTCACAGGGTGGGTGGGGGAACTTTTAGGCAAGTTGGAAAAATAATAATACAGTGCATATTAATTATTACACAGTAATAATAAATGTAAAGACATATGGTACTGAACTGTATGTTGAGCCAACGAGCCGCTGAAGCTGCGCAGTGTTTTCATGAGCATTACAAAGTAATGCATGCATTCATTATCACAAATCATTGTGTTTAATTCATATGTTCGATATGATATGATAATGATATGATAAATATATTCATGTCGGCCACTGGGGATTTATTACAGTTCGTAAGTACGAGATGCCCTTAACCCAGGGACTGGCAGTATAAATCTCACACTTCTGTTGAGATGTGCAGAATGTCAACAATTAAAGGACTTTACATAAATTTACAACCATTTACCTATAAAACTGCACACAAAGCTTATCTGCTGTTGCGTTGTGTCTTGTAAATGTCATTGGGAAAACAAGGCAAAGCGACTTAGCAAGACAGGAAGTTTGTACACAAGAAGGCGGTTTTCCTCATAGTCTTGGACACTGACTGTGAACTTCACTGATGATTAACTGCAATAACTCTTGCAAGCACTTACGTACAGAGAATTAATGAATGTCGTAAACCCCGAGGCATAAAAAAAAAAATCATATTCCCATTGTCTAATTACAGCATACACCACACATTCTCGAGCAGTTCCGCACACGTCAAAGACGATAATTGAATTTCCGGAGTTTTCCATTCATCCACTGGTGGCAGCTACTAAATGCTCTTATCGGACAAATAACAACAGTAAACACAGGTTTCTGGGCCTAACCAAGCTGCTCTCCTGCTCATCTGGGTGTCACTAAGCATTCTCCGCTACTGCTGGCACCAAAACTCTACAATTACCCACAGCTGAAAGAACACTGTCTGACCCCGGCAAACTGGCCTGTGCGAGTCACTCCCGCTTAGCCGCCTTCCTTATTTTGCTCCATTAAATCTCGTCCCCTCCCGCTTAATGGCCATGTCTGGTTCTGATGCGAGGTGCTGAAATCACTCTCCTTCTATTTACCCACAGCTCACCTGTTTTCCAAATTAAACTTAGTCGCCTGCCTCATGCTTTTTAGTTTTTTTGGTGTCCAAAGAGACTTCAATACAGACAGATGGAAATTTTACTTGAGAATTCCCGGGTTAAGTGCCTCGCTTAAGGGTCTTGCAGGAGTGCCCCCTCTCCCAAATCAAATAACGTGTCTTACCCACTACACTACAAGCTGCCTCGCAGATGAGGAACAGCCTGACATGGTCTTTAAGTACCAGGCCACACGTGGGGAGGAACAGCAAGACGGGGCCGTGGCTCTGGAGTCAGTCCAGCACTCGTGATCGTGCTTATAATGGATTCAGCTGCCACTGGCCTGCATCTGCATGACAAGCAAAATTGTACGACAGAACGCGGCGAATTAACGTGCTTCGCTATGAAATGAAGCACAATTATTTTGTAAATGAAAGCACTTTCTCCTGGTGTCAGCCAGGGCTACCAAGGTGCAAAGAAGATAATTTGATTTTTCTGTTAAACAGTTAAAATAATACAGATGCAGCTAATCAGTATGATGAATTATTGACCAAGTAGAAAAGTAGGAAACTAGCAGCTAAATAAATATGATATCTAATTACTGCAAATAATTAAAACAAATGTCGACATCGGTAATTACATTGCTGTTTATGTTTTTACAGAATACTACCAGTGTACATATGTATATAAAATACAATAATTTTAAATTAACAATTAAATTTGAGGCAACAAGTTAATTATCTTTGTAGAAGAATTCTGACATGTTTAATGACAACAGACATCATTAAAACACTAGTTACAAGCAAGTTCTTTTCAGAATGTTTTCTGTGTAAGTTTGATATTGGGAGCATTGTTGGGATCACTGGCTGTACTGGAACAGGCCCCAGCCTTGACCAAAGAACAGAAGCAGGAAAGCAGCAGACTGCGAGCTGCGATTCTGGATAACTGTGGCCCATCCCAAGTGAGGAGTGACCCCCACAAACCATCATAATCTCGGAATTTTTAAAAAGCCAATTTACCCAAGCCGATTAAAGACCAAATAGCTTCAACAGAGAAGCACCCACAATGAGAGACAAAAACACAAACGCTAACTCTACATCGACCGCAGTTGACTTTCAGAAGTTGCTGCTAATTCCCAGCTTAATTCTGCAGTGAGAGACAACACAGTGTAGAAAAGAGGAAAACCCAACTAGAAAAAACAATGGACATAAAAAAAAAAAATATCTGCCAAAATTCCCGAAATAAGAAAACGGATGATCGTTCGTTGGTCTGGCACACAGACCCCTTGTTGGGTTGTTGACTCAAATGAGCAAGCAGCAGAAACATGCCTGGCCTTCAGAAAGGACCTGATTGAGGACGTAATTCTGCCTGTAGACGATTTCATGGTTAGGAGCGTGAAACCCACAGAAAGATGGATGGCGCTCCACAAATTAGGAGTTGGGGATAAAGGTTTGGGCTGCCGGCTCCGGGTGTAACCTTGACTAGGAGAGGGACTGTGGCTCCGTAAACAATGGATTTTACTTGGTGACGTCAATCAACCTCAGACTCAAGCAAATCAAGAAGCCCCAGCTTTGCAACGATGACACACTGGGGAATAACAGGCCAACAGTAGTGAGATAAACACAGAGAAAATGTAAATACAGCACGAGAGCCAACAGAAGGTCATTAACACTGTGACGCAGAGCTGAACTTCCATATGGCAAACAGATTTATGGTGCAGAATATAAAAATATCTGGTGCATGACAAACGGCCTCTTAAACCTGCCCAGAGAGCTTTTACACTCCAGCATCACGTTCACTGGACCAAACAGCGGCGATTAACTTCCAGGCCGTGTCCGGCAATGGACCGCGTGGCGGTATGGACAGAAAAGCCTGAAGGAGCATACTGTTTCGGATGCAAATATCCTGCACAAACACCTTTTGCATTTGAAGAACAATCACTAAACAATAATGGATATTCAGTGGTGTCAGGTCAGCCCATCAAGTTAGCAATGCAGTACAGTTTCAAGCCTATTTACGAGATTGGGCTCATTTGATGGATAAAGCCTTCATTTAATGCACTGAAAGACATTTTGTGTCAAACTCTCTGGCTGGTCCATGCAGATCTCCCCTTAATGGAAGCTAATTAAGCAATTATCTTCCTTCTCTTTGACATTTCATAACTGCAGCCATTATTCCCGACATGGTCCGAAATCAGCCCCCCTTTTTTGTTTTCTACACACTTCTTTGGGGAGTATAAAGCAAGAGCAAAGAATAATTAACCACTAGTGGTGCAAATAAAGCTGGATAAGAATGAAAACCTGCGGCTGGGAGGGTCCATCGGGGACTGAACCCTAACCCCTGATTTAAATGCCATATTTCAGTGAAAACACTTCAATGTGTTAACACCGTCTCGAATTGATTAACATTAGGAAGTACCGGCTTGATTATGCCGATTGCATTTCAAGCGTAATTCATTTGTATTAATCGCAGGCTGTTTATTCAGAGGGATGTAACAACAGTCCGACATGTAACATGACGTTAACTCCACGACTGCGAATGCTGACATATACCCACAGAATGTGGGTAAAGGAGCTTGTGTTCAGACCTCTTAAAAATCAATTTATTGGTGTTCATTTGTGGCAACAATTTGTGAGAGAGGGAAATTCTATGATTAGCCTCAGAATATGTCAGCCTGAAAACCTGGAGCGAAGGTAGAAAATTCAGGAAGAACACCATCTGTATGGTCATCGGTAGGGGACATTGACCTGATGGCACCTAACATTTATAATAATTAGCCCTGATAGCTATGTGTCAGTTACCCTATGCTTTATTTTGATTGGCTGTACTCCCACCAATCACATGTTGCTGCTACCTCTGAGGCTAGCTCAGTTTGTAATGGCCGCCGTGTTTTCCATCAAGTTCTCGTGTCAATAAAGTACACAAGGGAGAGGCGGCACGGCCTGCTGTGTACGTCCGATGCCCGGGAGCGTGTCGTGCTTTACCTCTCCACGTTGTCGAGGTTCCCCGCCACGCCGAGTCCTCCGATGGTGTACAGCTTCCCATCATACACCAGGCTGTTGTGCCGACAGCGGGGGACCGTCATGCGGGACACCAGGTTCCAATTATCAAGCAGGGACATGTAGCACCACACGTCTGCCACCGCCACTCCCGACTCCATGCCACCTGGGAAGGGCGCGAACACAAATACTCACGATTGCCCGAGTCTCCATTTACACCCGCGTCCCCAATTTACACGCAGCGCAGCTGAGGCCCAGTTACACTCCACCCCCCCCCGCGAGATGAGGACTCACAGGACAGGACGGCCTTTCCCTGCAACAGACGGGACCGGCGCTGACCCACTTTCAGAGAACAGAACTAATAACAAATATAAAAATAATTCTGCTTAAAGGATGAGCGTAATGCTATATTAACGCAATTGCCAGTTATTATGAATCTAAGTCTCAGAACACCATTGATCTTTAAGTTAGAACAATGTGTTTATATCATACGGAAAATGGCACAATTTTATGGCAAATCAGGTGTACTTCCTTTAAAGAGAATTTAGAAAAATGACACCACAATTCAGAGCCATGTTTTGAAAGCTAGAATGAATCACAACCCTATTGACTTTGACAACCAAAAAACGATCCTTACAGTGTCAATACAGATAATCTAATAATGCATCTCCTAACAAGCTTGAAATAAGAGCTGGTAATTCATTGTGAACATAACATTATTAAAGGCCATTCATGCCAATTGAACCATAACTGATAACACAATGGACGAGAATTAGCTTAAAGGGCAGTTCAGAGAGGCTCGCTAGGTTTTCGCCAGCTGAAATTAGGGGTAAAGAGGCTGAACAGCCATCACCTGCACGTGTGAAAGGGCAGGTCAGAAAAGGCCATCATCACGTCGCTGCGCAAGATAACGCTGATCATCCTGACATGCTGCAGCTAGTAACTTAATTAACTGAAGAGTGGAAAGCAAACGTAGGTATGCATCTGTGAGTGAACAGTGGGTGAGTGTGCCCTGTGATGGATTGGTGTCCGCGCACAGTGTCGATGATCCATGGTAGCTTTAACAGCATGATACCCCCCACACATTCTTAAACTTGCAAAAGTGGGTTGGCCATGATTTTCCTGGACTTTAGACCGGGCGCTTTAGATCATTAAAATAGGGCCCTTAAAGTCACTTCCTCCTGTTTGATAGCATATCCTACTCTGGGGAAAAAGGCTCCGATTCCCAGGTGGGACAGACTGGTGGAGGAGCTTCTACCTGACAGGTAGATGTTGTCCCCCGCCGAGATGACGCTGAAGAACTCGCGGTCGTAGAAAGGCAGACTGGCCAGCGGGTACCACTTGTTGCTCTGCGGATTGAAGCAGGTGACGGCTGTCAGGGAGCGCTGGTTCATCCCAATGGCCTGACGGCCCCCCACCAGCACGATCACCTCAGCCACTCCTGGGGGGGGGGGGAGAGAGAGAGATCCAGAGCTGGAGAGACATACACTGTGGCTCCCAGGAAACGCACCCGGCGAGTCGGGACGTTAATGCGCCATTTAATCACCCGCAGTGAGAAAGCAGGATTTTACCCCAGTAAAAATGTGTATTTACTCTGGGCAGAGTGTGTCCCTGGACTGAATCATCTTCATTAATTACCATCTGTCCCGCTGAGGTCTTTACTCATTAATCAGACATTATATGGGCACCTTCATCAGCCCGGAATATCAATCACAGGCCAGTTTGATACAGCTTTTCTGTGTCAGTGTCCAAAAAGCAGCAAAAGGAGATGGCAACCACTTCAACACTTTATATCCGTGGCTTGTATAAAAAATAACCTCACCATTTAACATACAAATACACACACACACACACATGTCAGGTATACCTATCATTATGGGGCCCACTCATTCACTTCTATGGGAAAAATGCTAACGCTAACGATGACAACCTTAACCCCCACCCTGCCCTAACCATGACCATAAGTAACCAAGCAAAATACAAGCATTTTAAGTTTTTTTTTTCCCCATTAGGGAAAAAAACGGATATTTATCACGTTATGGGGACATTGTGTCCCCATAAGGATACTGTAGGTATACCCACTCACACACACACACACAGTTATTCAGGCTCGGAGCAACGGTAAGGGAGCTGCGTATCTCCCCTTAAGCGGCAGCTCGACACTCACAATTGATAAGCCTGTGCCCCCCTGGCAGCTGCCTGAATTCCCATCCCTCTGCCTGGGCTTTAGGGGCAAGCGGTTGGAATAAAGCACACGAGGAATAAGGCAAGAAATACAACAAAATAAAGAAATACTGTCTGGCTGGTAGCTACTTGCTTTTGCTTTGTTTTTTCCTCAGCCAGGACAAACAGAGAGACAAGTTGTGACATAACTGCACGCTGGCGAGCATCAGAAAGGCCAGTCAGTGTTTGTGTTAATTAATACCTGAGTCTTCAGTTTTCAGATGCCCTCCAGCATCTCCATTCATACACTCGCAAAAACAACATTAATGGAACTGATACTACAGTCAAATGCAGCCAGTGAGTATTTTCATAGTACATGTCAAAATAATTATTACTGGTTCAGCTTAGATATGCATAAATGCCACCCGACTGTGGTGGAGAGGTTTGTGTGCCTCTGTCTGATCCTGGGGCCTATGTTGTCGGGGGCAATGGCCTCCAAAGGCAAACTGGTCCTAGGTAAGTGGCCAGTGTGATTCACATAGACCCCCATGATGGGTACAACAGAGAGCGACATGACAAGGCCCAGACTGGGGAGGCTGGGGCGACTTTAACACTCACGTGGGTAGCGACAGTGAAAGTGTGATCTGAGTGTGACTGGGAGGAACAGCCTACCCAATATGAACCCAAGCGGTGCTCTGTTATTGGATTTCTGGGCTAAGCACAGTTTGTCCATAATAAACACCATGTTCAACCATAACGGTATTCATAAGTGCACCTCATACCACAGTACCCTAGGCCTCAGTTCCATGATCAATTTTGTAATCGTATCATCAGCTCTGCGTCGGCATGTTTTGTACACTTTGTAAAGAGAGAAGCTGAGCTGTCAAATGATCACCACTTGGGGTTGAGCTGGATCCGATGGCGAGGGAAGATGCTGGATAGACCCGGTAGACCAAAACGTATAGTGAAGGTGTCCTCGGAGGCGCCTGTCTGGGAGATGTTTAACTCACACCTTCGGCAGAACTGCATCCGGAGGAAGTCAGAAGACGTTAAGCCTGAATGGGCAACGTTCAGGCTGAGGCGGCAGTGGGGAGCTGTGACCGTTGGTTTTTGGTTCCTGTCGCGGTGGCAATCCCCGAACTCAGTGGTGGACACCAGCGGTAAAGGGAGCTGTCAGGCTGAAGAAGGACGCCTTCCGAGCTTGGTTAGCTTGCGGGATTCCTGAACCAGCTGACAGGTACTGGCGGGCTAAGTGTGATTCGGCTTTGGCAGTTACTGAAGCAAGAACTCGGGCGTGGGAGGTGAGGCCATGGAGAAGGACTTTCGGTCGGCCTTGAAAAGATTCTGGCAAACTGTCAGGTGACTCAGGAGGGGGAAGGGAGACTTTACCCATGCTGTTTACGGCAGGGATGGAGAACTGTTGGCCTCAAAGCGGGATATAGTCAAGCAGAAGAAGGAGTATTTCAGGGAACTCCTGAATCCCACTGATACACCTCCTTTTGAGGATGTAGAGCTGGAAGACTCGGAGGAGGACGTACCCATCATGATGGCTGAGGTCACCGAAGAAGTCAAGAAACTCTTCAGTGGTAAGGCTCCGGGGGTGGATGAGATTGATGTTGTTGGGCTGTCTTGGCTGACACACCTGTTTAACATTGCATGGAGGTTGGGTATAGTGCCTTTTGATTGGCAGACTGGGGTGGTGGTTCCCACTCCATTAAGAAAGGAGACTGAAGGATGTGTTCCAACTTCAGGGGGATCACACTCCTCAGCCTCCCTGAGAAGGGGTACTGGAGAGGTACTTAGTCAAACCTCAGATCCAGGAGGAACAATGCGGATTCTTTCCTGGCCGCAGAACACTGAACACCCTCACAAGGATACTGGAGGATTCATGGGAGTTTGCCCAACCAGTCTACATGTGTTTTGTGGACTTGGAAAAGGTGAATGAACGTGTCCCTTGGGGGGTTCTGTGGGAGGTGCTTCAGGAGCATGCGGTACCAGGGTCCACTGTTACAGGCCATCAGGTCCCTATATAAAAGGTGCAAGAGCTTGGTTTGCATTGCCAGCAGTAAGTCAGGCTCATTCTTGGTGGCTGCTGGACTCCGCCAGGGCTGCCCTTTGTCACCGATTCTGATCATAACATTTATGGACAGAATTTCTGGGTGTCTGGTTTCTGGCTCGGTTCAGTGGCCTCAGGATCGCGTCTCTGCTTTCTTGCGGATGATGTGGTCCTGTTGGCTTCATCGGGCTGTGACCTGCAGCATGTACTAGGGTGATTTGCAGCTGAATGTGAAGCGGCCATGATGAGTGAGGATCAACACCTCCAAGGGCCCCCTGTAGTCAGCATCCATTTAGCAGCAGATTATACCACTATAATGTGCTTGCAACACAATCAGATTGGTGCCAAATCACCACAAACAGACGTGCTGACAAGCAGACACTCATTTCTGTCACTGACAAACTGAATTCACTGCCGGTACAGTGGCTGCTTGCCGATTCAAAGGTGTTTTTAAATAGCTTTCAACTGAACTTCAGGCTACGCATAGAAGGTTACACTGTACCATCTTCTAGCACCCTATCCTGGTCAGGATCATGGAGGGGGGAGCCTGGAGTCTATCCTAGGCAGCACTGGGAACAGGGCCTGGGTACACCCTGGATGGGAGGTCGGGATTATGCTATACTGAGACTCAGTGTTGAGCATCTCAGGATCGGGGATAAGGGGCAGTCACATGCTGCTGCACACTTTCATGGTAATAAATAAATAGGGGCCAGCTGCTGCCCGGCCATTAAAAACTGGCAGCTTTATTTACATGAAATATACTGGCTCTTTCTGGAGGTAAATGCCGTGGCGACAGCGGCCGGGGCATTAAGCTGCGGACCGCCGCTGCAGAAACGACCCCGTCTCCAAGTGTTCACGGCTCATCTCCCCACTGGGACTCCCACCCAGCTCGCCTTGGGTCCGTGGGCCTCCGCGTCCGCCTTGCCCGCCGCGGGTGCAGTGAGACAGAGAAGCGAAATCGCGGCCCCAAGGCAGCCAGCCGCTGATCGGCGAGCTCCGCCAAGGGTCTGCCTGTCAGTCAGCCGTTGGCATGGTCATGTGGGGGAAGCGCACCCCCGACAGCCCACTTCTCTCTAAGCAAATAGGATGTTCTGGCACAGTGAGCAGCTGAAGGCCGCTCCCCGACCGCGTCTGGGTGGTGCCATCGTCGGGAAACCGTCCCGCGTCAGAAACTCATTAGGGTATCAGCTGTCACTCAAAAGTTCTTATCGGCAATAACAGAAGCATCATTGCTGGTGTTTATTTTACAGAGTCATAGTTCTCTGGTGCAGTGCACACGTAATGCTGTGCATTCTCTATGCCAGAAACACCACCCCCCCTCCACCCACCCCGAGGATCAGCTCCAACCGTGTTAATGTATCGTGACGAGAATCGGGGAAACCGGGTTTGCACCCCTAACAGGAGGTCTAATACCCCCCTGGGAGGGGGCGTCTGGCGTTGGGGCAACTCTGGATGACAGCCACAACCAGACAAGGAATTAGCATTTACGGGCTGGCCGTAAGCGTGATGGGTGACAGCCGTGGACACGCTCGCAGGGGATGCTGGGTAATCTGAGCACACATGCTAACACACAGAAACATCATACTTGCCAAACGATTACCAATTATCATGCTAACGTGATTAGCATTTTGATATTTATAACCCTGTTTTATCTTCGTGATAAAAAGCACAGATGCAGCGCAGTTCTCACCGCTAACCTCGACTCATGTGGGTAAAAGTGATAAGATACTCAGCGTACAACAGGGGGTCCAGGTTGTTAATCCATTACAGAAAGCGGGGATTTGGAATCCTTTGTCTCTGCAGTGCCTCCTCAGCAAACTTCCTCGAAATACTTGAATGTTACAAGATGCGAAATAAGGAGGAAACCAGGCAGGAGCTGAAGCAGCTGAATGAAGGAAAAAGCATGAAATCTACAGTATGCTGCTAATTTTTAACGGATCAGCGTAAATCAAAGTAAACAAAAATACATTTTACACTATGAACAAATCCTGAGCATTTGCAGCCTGATGTACAAAAAGCCAATAAGCCAAATAAAATAGGAAATTGCCCAGCTAATGGAAGCATGAGTTTTGCATTGACTAGAGGCGTTATATAATCCACCAATTTCATGCCTAACATACATGAGTGGTACAGGGCAGCCCAGCATCTCAGTGGGTACAACAGTCTCACCACAGGGTTTGGGGTTCAAATCCCACCTTTGTTCTTTGTGTGTGGAGGCTTCATGTCGGGCCCCTTCAGATGGATATATTAATTCCACAAGATGGAGAAACAATTAAAAAATAATTTACCCCTGGCTAGGGACGTGTCCCTGTGCACCTTCCGCTACAGTCACATGGTTTTCTGGTATCCCCACCTGATGTGTGAGGCTCCCGACAGCCTGTGACCCCCCCCCCC